CCAGCTTCAGATATGAGAGTGGTACTGATCTTCTGACAAGAAAGGGAATAAGTATATTTGCCAAAACATGTCAAACCATTTATTTATTGCACAGTAATAAGATTGATATCTCACTCTCAGAAAGAAAGCAAGTAAATGTGCTTACCAAAATGTTAAACTACTACTTTAAAACAAGGATACTACTGTATTTTAAATTGAATTAATATACAGATTGTGCCTCCAGACAGTCGTCAGACTCAAATTCTGGTGATTTTTCAAGTTTTCCTTTCAGTGAAACATTTACATGTTATGCAACGGGGTAAATAAAATTGGCCACAGTCTTGGATTTTCAGGAAAGATTCAAAATTAGTTTGCCATCAAGCAAAAAAACAAGGCCTTTTGTCTTTCTTCCCAAGTCACTGACATGCTGGAGACCCAAGCTCTTTACTGCACAGTAACCTATAGAATTTTTAAGGAACGCTGGCTTAGACTGTCAGAGTCTGTTATGAAACGTTTTGTGTGCTAATGGACGAGCTGCTCCGATTAAAATAAGCTCCAATAACTTAAAGACTGATGTATGGCTTTTATATTTTCCGTGCATTAACAAGTGAAAACCGAGATAATGGCATTGATCGCTGATGAAATATCTGTTTTGAAGTGATTAACGCACAAAGGGAAAGGCTTCACCGCCATCATTGTCCATCAACATTTACCATACGTATCCTTCAGGAAGGGTTTTCATCATGTGTTGAGAGACCGAGCAAAAGAATAAAAAGAGAATGACAGTATAAAAGTTTCCACCTACCTAGCAATGTAAACAAACACAGTGACCAAGGAGAGCAAAACAAACAGGAGCACAGACGCTGTTAATAATACGTGTAACCATGCAAGCTACTGTTAATGAGTGTCCCCATTTCTATATGTATTTTACTTTGAAATTATCTTCGGAAACCCAAATCAGATACCTGATATCTGACTCTTTGCAGTTTTGTCTCGGTACAGTGTTTTTGCAGATAGTATGGTGTTTATTCATTTTCACTGTTGACAATTATAGCATTGTGGAAAAAAATATGGGTCAAAATCTTCAAGCCTGAAAGGAACATTCATATCAGTGGCTCATTGTTACTAGGATAAGATAACCTTCGAACCGTTGTAATCTGTATCATATTAAGCCTCGGGAAAACAAGGAGTCTACAGTCTCCTGTGTATTTAAGTACACATTTTTGACCTGATGATGTGCTAGATGAAAAGGTCAGGGGATCAGAGTTATTACAATTCATCCTGAGGGAAGCATGAAGGTTTGCACCAAATTTAATGGTGATCCATCCGAAAGTTGTCGAGATATTTCAATAACAACTAAAAATGTCACCCTCCTGGTGGTGCTGGAGGAAAGGATATCCAAATTAGGGTACATCGTCTGGGAAGCGTGAACGTCTGTTGTTATGCATTATGCAATCACCTGCAAAGAGCCAGCCCTTTTCCAAACATGGCTCTGTGTAACAAACCATCCGGTCCATCCAGTAGTTGTTGAGATGTTTCATGACCAAAGTGATGGACCGACTGACCGACATAGCCATCCCTAAAGCAACGCTGCTCGCACGACTGAAAATAACTGATTTGTTGAAGTTAATTTTGCTGCTTTAAGGTTAACCTGTACTTGCTAGATAGCACAGCCACGAGGCCTTCTTCTCGTCAGACACTGATTAATGTCCGACTCCACGTGGAATGCTCTAAGGCTTAACACCTGCTGGCGACTGCGCCAAAAATGCTAATAATTACTTAAAGTGCAAGGCATTTATTATCTGCATGCACGAAGTGTATACATTTGTTATGTAACATGTATATATTTAGAGAATCTATGGAATCTGTTATCTAAAATTAGCTCATTCCAAGTCAGGGATGATGAAAAAAACAGAGTTCAAACTGTTCCTGAAACTTAGTGTATAATTATTTGCATTCAGAACATTCCCTCAAAATGTGCAATGTGTGAAAGTGCCCCCCTCACTCTCTGATTTCTAACTACAGTAAAGTTTAATAAAGCCAGCGAAGACTGCGCACATGACTCCTCCTCGCCTTCATGTCTGTCAGCAAAGCATTTTTGAAATATCTTAGGGATATTCCTGTAATGTTTTTCAGTATCTATTGTGCTGCTGTGCAGGGTTGGGCGGGGACTGAGAGTGGGATTACAGGCGGACAAAGTGCTGAGAGATACCTGCACAGATTCCCATAATCAGCTCTCTGAAAAGTGTGTCACCTCCCTCCTTCCCTCCCCACCCCACCCTCATCTCGCCCAGATGTGATGACAAATCAAATCCAACCACAGAGGAGAATCTCTCAAGTTGCCAGTCTTGACTTTCTCTCGCAAAGCAGACATTAAAAAGGGGCAACAACCAACTCCCCCGACCCCTCAGGTGAACCAGGTTTTCTCCTGGTGCTGACTCCTGCTGACCCTTTTCAGCCAGTCACAGTAATTAATCCCCTCCGGTCGAGGCCGCGGCGAAGGTTTCGTGAGATGCTTTGACACAGCTGGGAGTGTTAGTTGGAAAACAGGGCGTGCAGAGGTAGAGTCGGGCGTTGGTTGGACGTCAGAAGTCGAGGCCAGTCCGCCCCGCCCAGACGTTCCTCGCACATAGTCCTATTGTTTGGCTCCTGAGCTCGAGAATTCCTGTCGAGTCGAGGAGATTCCTCGCTGTGTAATGGGGTATTATGTTCGCTCGCTCTATTGAATAGACTAATGAGTTATGCCAAAAGCTAATGTCTCAGGGGAGTTCCTTGCATAGAGCCGCATAGTTTAGAGGGTAAGTGCCATTGTGTTGGGTCCCCAGGCCCGTCCGCATGCTGTTAACCTCTTCAAGTGCGCAGGTACACATAGAGGCATCTCCTTCTACTGCAAGCTTTAATAATAAAGCCTCGGCTGGCTCATGACGTATAGGGGGCATGTAATGATCTGGAAGATAAGGAGTGAAAGAGCGGAGTCATAGAACCAATAAAGGCAACCTGATAACAAGCTGTTGAGTCAGTGTGTTAAAAAGGCCTGCAGTGATATGGATTTTCAGTAGACGTCTGGTGGAGGAATAATAATGTCAAATTACTTTTTATTTACAACAATCCTGAGGTACTTGTGCTTCAGTATTTGCATTCAATGCTACTTTATACACTTCTTTTCAGAGGGAGATATTGTGCTTTTTACTCCACTATATTTATTCATCAGCTTTAATAACTTTAATTCAGATTTTACATGCAAATCCAATCCAATTAGCTCCATTTCTAGCAACTTTAAAATGCTTCCTACAAGTCAATGATTGGTAACAATAATCCAGTATACTGTCAAATATAACAATGATATGGACCATTCTGCTGTATAATGAGTACTTTAACTTTTCAAACTTCATGTGCACATTTTTCTGGAAATTATGATGAATGCATTGCTTTTATTTGTAATGGAGTATTTTGTTTCCTGTTGATTTCAACATTTCCTTTACCGTCCCAATAGAGCACAATATGAGCACTTTCATTAACATTTGTTTGTATACGCTACAGACTTCTGTACCTGTATCCATTGAATCCAGCTAAGCACATTTCTTTGCGTGTCACCTGAACTGGCTTCAGGCTGTATCTGCTGTATCTGCAGTCCTGACACCGTCTCCCGCAGCAGACAAGTCTTTTTATAAATGCTCAGCAAACAAAAAGAAGGTCTGTCTGGAAAATATGACATCAGTATTATTATGATTGGACTCCACCGTGGATTTGTTTGCTAAATGGGTTGGATAGATAAGACTTTTCAACCCGATGCTGCAGTGGTTTGTTCGCCGCTGCCAGTTCAAGCAGCTCGTCGATGAGTGATAGGAGCGAGTTTCAAGAGCACCGATGTTTGAACTGAACACAAGAACACAAGGAGTTCTTGTGTGACATCCATCACATGTACAACTGATATTAAAATGTATATTTATATATAGAGAGAGGGGACCAATCTGACAGATTTGTGCAACACTTTGCTTTAATCTTTGCAGAATTTGGAAAAGAAGTGCTTGTGATGATGGAAATATGAAGTCTTATGTTCTAATCCGTGCATACTGCGTGAGTCTTATTCTGGGGGAGTTTGTGACATCCATGTTTGGTGATGTGATGTTTATATTTTCACATAAATTGAAGGATTAAACAGTGCGTCTGTGAGTTCTCCATCTTATTTTCCACCTATTTTAAAACTGATTTATCTCAAAATCTCTTATTTCCTGCAGGTTCTTTTGCGATGCAGAGTTTTCATTTGGCAGCTAGATGAGTGATTTATGAGTCAACATGAAATTAAAGATATCAGCGGAAGTGTGCCGGAGTTTTGGTTTCATTTAAGGATATAAAAAGAAAAGGAAAAGAAGTACAGCTTCTTGAGAAGGGAGTGGTGATTAAGTAACAGCAGGGTGTAAATAATGGCCCCTTATCTACAGTAATCGAGCAGGTACAGGTACAGGGAGGAGATTACCAAAAGAATGACTCAGGCGTTGTTGAATTTTAAGCTGAGTCACTTGTCAGCAAAAGATGGAAAAGCTCAGGTTTGGAAGGTGGTAGATATATTATAAGTTTATATAAAAAGGTATTTTAAAACAAAGGGGATCATTACAGAGCTGACAAACAAACGCTGGATGTGTCTTTTGAAATCCGAGCTGCCGAAAGAAACCTTGAATCCACTTTCGTCTGATTTTAGAAATTGCGGTGTATACACTCTGGGTTTGGCACAGAGATGAAAGGGCAGGGTTTTATTGCTCTTTGCGTCGTTGTCTTCCACATCAACACTTTCTTGTTATCACATCTGAGTTTGTCTCTCTTTTTATTCCTGTCTCTCACATCTTGTCTCACTTGTTTCTTTTCTCATTCACTTTTTTGTATTTCGACTTAATGTCGAATGTTGGCTCCTTCATTCCCGATCGTCCAAATTAGGCTCATAAAACGCTGCTTTTCTCCGTTTCAGGGATCTATAGCAGCTTACAGAATACATCACAGTATATAGAAACAATGAGGAACGTTGCTTTTTTTAAATAAGTGTGTAAAAATTTATTTGTTTGGATGCCAAAATTTGGCACCTTGGTGACAAAACATTTCACAGAAATGACAAAAAGAACAAAAAGTGACGGACCAATATGGCCATCAAATTACAACACGTTAAAAAGAATAAATAAAGACACGTAGTAGCAACAACATACAGAAACATTAAATTATGATGAATCCACGAACACATCTGTGGTTTAAAAACTCCCAGCAGCTACAGTGACCTGTGTCCTGATGTAAAGGAGGCGACCTGTTACATAAAATGCAGTAAATAGTTTCAGTCAGTGGAAATAAGAATGACACAAGGCACATAATCCCTTCTATGTAGACTCTTCTCTATGTGTGAGAGACATAATGGCAGTTTTGAAATATAATAAGCAGGACTGCCTTCAGCTGTATACGGCAGTGGTTTTCATTGTTCTGTCCCAGAGGGATTTATATGATATCCTTCCAGTAATGTCAAGTTTTTTGTTGTTGTTGAAATGCTATTTGGTGAGTCCACAGGAGTGAGTCTGACACCGACAAGATCAATGAATGTCCTTGATTTTTGTGCAGACCGGGACCAGGAGCCCCAAGTCCTCCTTCACCTGAACTTGTCTCTGAACCTCCTTCATCTGTCTGATGAAGTGCAACCGAGTCGAGTAGTAGACTCTCTCTGCTCGACCTCTGCACGACGCTGCAGCCTCCACGAGTTCGCCAGCCTTAATTTTGGAGGGTGGGGTGGGCTCGCTATTGTGGTCCACAGGTCTGGCTTTTAGAAGAAAAAGGGCCCCCCATGCTCATGAAGCCCCTTCCCACCAACCACCTCTGTAGTGACAAGGTGCGGCGGTCGTCTTGTCTTCTTTAGGAGGCCGTGCTCTCGCCCTCCCACGCTCTCGCCCTGTGGCGCTGTCTCACCCTCCACTTCTCCAGCAGCAGGCGGGTTTTCAAGGCGGCCTCGATCGCTAGAGGCGGCCCCTGTTTCTCGTAGGTGTTCCTGCGAGACAAAGACAGGGAGAGCAATCAGAAACCACATCGATCTCAGGTTATGTAAAAAGGTAAACCTAATAGCTGTGTGGATTTGAGCTGTCAGTCAGGTGTCACGCTGAATACACTCTTTAGTGTTTTAAGCAGATTGAAGTTTATTGTTCTTTTATTACGTGCAGAGAAACATGATGGTACATGAGACCCACGCTGCTCTCACAGGGAGCTGCTGCAGCTTACTTTAGGTACTTTTCATACAGTCTTAAAGGGTTTTATGGATTTCATAATGGTGCTCTGTCATCATGATATATTGGGGATTTCTTTCTCAAGGGCTAATCCTGCTTCTTAAACACGTGCTGTTGTTTTTTAAATGTTTATTACCTCTCAGGGCTCACTGGGGTTTTTTTTTTTAAGCATGCAGAAAATTAGGCACCCTGAGACATTCTTGCCCTACAAAAGACCTCACTGTTTGCGTGAGGTTATAATTACCCCGTTCATTTTTATTTTGCAAATATAGACTCTCTCTCTTTGGAAGGTATTCAGACTCCTTTACAGTACGAGCGGGGTTGTTTTACCTCTTAATCCTGCCCGTGTCGGCTGCCAGCTTGTGTTTGCACTGTGCCTGAACACAACCATCGCCCTCGGCTGAGCGGATCACCGTGTCTGGCAACGTCCCATACCTGCGAGCGAACAAAAAAAAACCACACGATGAGAGGCGGGATCACGTTACACATTATATTCACCGCGCACAGTTTCGAGACACCGAAGAAAAAGGGGGGCTATTTAAGAGACACAAACATGTTCTCACTTGTGATGGAAACAAGCACAGAAAATGACTAAATATGATCTGTGTTTGGGTTATTCACGAGATGTTTTTGGAGCTGTTTGTTTTTAAAAAAAAGAAGAAGCTAATTGCTTACCTGAGGTGTTTTTCCAGCCGGCAGAAGTTTCGGCATGTGTTGTCGTTTTCGCGGAAGCACTGGCACCGGGGTCCGCTGCCGGTTGCCATGGAGTCCGCGACCGCGCGCCTCGTCCTGGGAGCGTTGCCCAGTCCGTAGGAGACCACGCGCCTGGAAGGAACAGTGACACAGTTCGAATCAAGCAACTGAAATTAACGGTCCAATTCAAAATGACCGAATTTAAACGGTCGGTTATGCGTTATGTTTGACGGTAAAAAAAAGTTTAAGTTTGCTTGTTAGCAAAGTAAAAACAATCCAAGACTGATAAGGTAGGCAAACTGCACTTTATTTTACAGTTACACTCGATGTAAGTTAACAGAAAGCGACCATTTCTCAAAAAAACGTTAGCTTAAAACGAGTGTTTGCTACTCTTCGTCAAATAGTTGTTTGTATCTCAACGTCTATCCAATATTTACAGTTAGTATCCCGAGTAGTGTAATTACGTTACTTGTTCTTTACTCGGCTACTGAAGAAAATGAACCCGTCGCTACTGTTTGAAACATGCTCATGGTGACTTACTCAGGTGTGTTGACCCATATGATGTCCAGGTGGCAGAAGTAGACGCACTCCTTGTCCAGGAAGGTGGCGCAGGAGCAGCGTTTGGTCCGCACATGGCGCCCCTGGGTGGCGATGGAGGCAGTGGGAGTCCCTCCAGCAGGCACCGATAGCACTGTAATTAAATCATCGTTATCAAAACACTGCATACAAACTATTAACTGAACCCTAACATTGTCAGGAAGATGCGCAACGTCGTGTTATCAGCGCAAGTGCTGCAAAGAGTTTGCTCTGCAGCTTTGCAGAGATTGGATTCAAAATTATTGCAGATAGTAGTTCATTAAAATATTACGTATGTGTCTGAATAGTTAGTTAATTACTGGTTAATGTCCGGGTTAAAAAACAGCTAAAAAAACCAAACAAACCGAAAGTTACCTGTGCACAAAATCCCGGAGCACATCACTGATAACACGGAAATCAAAGTGTATATATCCATTTTCCAGGCTCTTCTAAAACCTCAAGAAAAAGTAATAATCCTGCAGAAGTGTAAAAAAAATAAAATAAAAATTAAGCATCCAGTGTATTTCACTCCTTTTTGGTAAAATGTTTCTGTGCTCGTCCTCAGAGATTCACACAGGAGCGTCAGGCTGCAGTGTCAGTGTGGCCCCATATGTGCAACCCTTTGACTTTATAGTGCTTCCCACCTCCTCCTCCTTCCTCCCTCCTCCTCCTCCTCCTCCTGCCTCAGCGCCGCACAGCTTTGTCCTTTTTCTCGTACCCAGACAGTGATGTTTGTTAGTAGTCGGCCGCTGATAAGGTGCCGTGCAGGCCAAGTGGAGGACTTTGAGATGCCTTGGTGAGTCTGAGTTGAAGGATGGAGGGAGATTGAGTGCGACCTGTGCCACACTGCTGTTGGACTGTGGAAGAGCTGCAGGTGCACCTAAGGGACGGCAGGTGGCAGTCAAGTGACAGGATTCATTCCCCTGGTTTAATGGCGAGCATTGCATACAGAAGTACAGTATAAAGGGTAGAAAGTGTAGATTTAATTTTTCTAACTTGGTTTAAATGTTAAATGCTCGAGTAGAAGTGAAAATCCTCCTTTTTATTTTTTGAGGAAAACTACTCAAGTAAACAATTACATTAAGAAAATAAAGTTCTTTCTAATCACTATTAGAAATTGCAGTCCCTTTTATTTAAAACATTTAAGCCCTATGAAGGTTGGAAATTTAGTTGCAGATAAATGTAACATATTAGTAATTTACTGTAGGATTAACTAAGTAGTCTTCAGTTTGACCAGAGACACCAAATTCCTTGGTTTATGATCACAAATAAGATCAGGAAGGTGGTAGTTGAGAAATACAATAAACATTTAAAAGCCATAAATAAAAAAACATCAGTAATAGGACTAAAACCTAAGACCATATTAGACTCTGTATACATATGTGCACTACAATGATAGTGCCATGATAGTAATACGTTGTAGTAAAAATATAAATATTTAGAGATTTTGTCCAAAGTGGTGAAGTTTTATTAATAAAGCTTTCTCTAGATTTCCTTATGTGATGAAAACTGTTTCACAAGGTGGTGTCTTCTGTTATTCTTGCCATACTTCAATATGTATACGTCAAATGTGTACTAATCTACGATAGTGAAAGCAAAAGCACTTTGTAAATCTTAATTACAACTTTGAACATACGTCTAATTAAATATTTCAGACGCAACCACGTCACGTATTGAAGTTTGAACTTTGAGAGCCCGCTGCTGCAGACAAAGAGGTCACCTGGTAGGAAGGGAGTTTGCACTTATGCATGGTCTGAGCTGGAGAACTGATTAATACAAGATTAATGCACTTCATTGTCTGTCCCTAAGAATGTATTATTATAGGACTAAAACTTTACTGGGACACTACACGCAACATTACATAACCAGTGCAAACCTTTATATCTAAAGTCCCTTTTTAAGTAGGATTCTTGCTGGAGATTAAACATTTTTTCAGTCTTATTAATATATCATCAATGTTTGAAATACAGCTGTGTACATATAAAGATCAATATTCATAGCCTATGAGGTTTTTCAATGATTATAAGGTCATGTTGTCCGTACCTTCACAACTGCTGTGTTTTTATTAATGAATGAATGATTACCGAAAGTACAAACAAGCTCCGGAGTGGCTGTTAATCTAATGGTTTCCCTCCACCACCAGTTGTTGTAAACTGTGGAAACTTAATTTCCCTAAACCACATGTTCAGAGACACTTTGCTGTGGAAAAACGACCTTGCTTGCGTGCTCAAAGTGGAAAAGTCTTAGGTAAAGTATCCTGACATGCTGGTGCTAAGAGTTTCCACTGACCAGGGGGACAGCTTGTGCTAAAGGGAAGGAGGTCAGGACAGAAACAACCCAGCAGAGGCAATTAGAGGCAGATTTGTAATGTTTTGGTTAAAATTTGGACACTCAGGTTTTGCCTGTTTAACCACACAGCTGCTGGGATGTTAGTAGAGATTTGTTCTGACTCTGCTTGAGTTGTCGATCTAGCAGATGCACTAGCAGATAACGACCTCTAGGGGTCTCTGTTTGCTTTGCTATAGGTTCCCCCCCTACAGGTTTCAGTCAGCGCTGCAGGAGGAGGGTGTAGAGTGATGGGGTCTGTACTGTAGATGGATGAGTCACCTTCTGAATGTGTGAATGTGGTGGAACAAGGAGGTTATCACTGTACAGCCTCTTGAGATGAGAGAGATGTTTCCCGTCATTGAGGGGCAGATTGCTCTGTTTGGATGACTCTTCTCGTACAGAGGGTGTAAAATAAAACAAATATAATAATTGATCAAACAAGGGCCACTCATTTGATTGGCAACCAGTGAGTTTTAATTAAGTGGTGTCATTGTGATGATGAGAGGATCAAGAGGTTGTTTCCCGAGGAATCTAAATGATCTTTGCTGTACAGCAAGTGGGACGTTGAAGGAGGTTGAGTTGTTTTACTGCATGAATTTCTTATATATTATTTTGCCATCATAAAAAAAAAAATTGTTATTGCAGTTTCTTCCTCTGTTGTGTTTCACAGAAAAAGCAGAACAACACTGCTGAAGCAGACCTACTTAATATATTCACAGTGGAAGTAAAGGAGCCAAAGTCTTGAGCCAATTGAGACGATCACATAACCGGCTTTTTATTTTAAGAAACACAATTCACTATCATGAAAGAAGCTCTATTTGGGCTCTGCTGCTCTGCCAGGGAGTGTTGGTCTTGTACAGTTGCTGTAGATGATCAAATATTGATTATGAATATCTCTGATTAGCTGGAAAGTAACCAATCTATTAAAAAGATGCACACAAATATTACCCAAATTATAAGAGCGTGGAAATACTAGCCATTGATTGAGCCAAAATCCCAATTCATTTGTATGTTTTTATTTTTTGGCTCTAGTTAGGGCTGCAACTAACAATTATTTGAATATGTTACTGATTAATTTACCAAGTATTTTCTTAATTATTGATTGTTTGGTGCAAATTGTAAAAAAAACAAAGTCCAACTAGCATCAATTATATTCTGTTTAAAAAGATAAAAAAAATCTGAAAATGTTTACATTTGAGAGGCTGAAATCAGTGAATCTTTGCCTGATCAGATATAAAAATTGTTCCTAATTAATTTTCTTTTAGTCAATTCATTGTTGCAGATAGAAACGATTCTCATATGTTTTGATATAAAAATTGTGCTACCTACAATATTAAATTTGACATATAATCAACAGCAAAGTAGATAAGCATACATTTCACAGGGACATACCATAATCGATTTCACACCACAGTCCCACGTTTATAACACTCAGTGAGCTTAAATAGTTGTATTGACCAACTGATTGTCTATGATTCAACCTAAGAGTGTCTATGAACACTTATCTGAAATCAATGTCGAGTCCACCTTTTAAAATATGTAGTGATGATATGTTTTTAGTGTTTAACTGACAAAATACAGTAAAACCACTTTAATATTTGTAAACAAATTTTTACTGATACAGTTAAGAATATTGATACAGCAATGTAAAGCTACCATAATGCACATACCTATGGACTTATGAATCATAATGGGCACTAGATGGATTATAATAAATAGTTGAACACAACATCTGTACACAGAAACATTGCCCCATAATCCATAGAAATGTACATATACCAGTACAACATTTATAATTCCATAAATTTACGAATGACAAATCCTCCAAAATAAAACTGATATCCTCCATTGTTAGGCCTCTCTTTACTTCTATTTTTTGAAATAAACACAAGCAACTACTCAATTTATAAGGAATTATGTACAGGTTCCTAAACAAGAAACTCCATAAAGGCACAATTGTCTATACAACATGTACAAAAAAAGAAATTGTCTGGAGCTGACAAAAAAACAAAATGATTGGTCGTCATTATATTTATCATATGATTGCACATACAATATGAATGTCAGCATCTGTGCTTTGAAAGGTGATTTGCAAAGAAACAAACCCCTGAAAAGTGTTTTCAGTCTTACAAAGTGACAAGAATTACAAAAAGAGAACAAGAAGAGCTTTCCACTTGGGGGTTTCAGGTGGCAATGACCAGTCTGTCTTCATCATCACTGGATACCTCATTATAGTCATCAATTACCTTCTGCCAGCTGGTCACTGGCAGTGGTCTTGGAGGCGTGGGATCACTAGCTCCCTCAACTGATGACTCCTTAGCACTGTCTGCTCGGCTTTCAGTAGCTGGTGATCGATGCTGCTGTGGGGATTTATCCCTTTCTTTCCTCTCAACAGTCTGTGTGAGATCTGCTCCACTGCTACCTCCCGGGCTAGCCCTGCTGCCTGAGGTCACTTCCGGGGAGCTGCTGACCTTCAAAGGGGCAGGCGGTGAAGCTGACATGCAGCTCCGTAAGGAACCGAGCCCATGTTCACTTTGAGATGGCTGTGCTCCAGGAGCTTCAGGGCTGCCCTGCCTCTCTGAGGACCCAGGGAGAGGACTAAGGGTGGAGAGAGGGCTGAGAGAAGGGATGATGGCAGGCAGGGCGATGTTTAATATCTGCAGACCTGGGATATGTGTCTGGGGGCCGGTGCTGCTTTGGGAGGTGGGGTTGGCAGCTAAAACCTGCAGCCCAAGGGTAGCATTGAGGGTGAGCCCTTGCTGGTTCAGCAGCTGGGTGGATGCCAGGCCTGTGTTGGTCAGCCCCATGAGGTTCAGTGTCTCCAGACCTACTGGCTGTATTGTTTGAGCCTGCAGGCCAGTGACCTGCCCTAGGGGGAAGCAGGGCATAACACTGCTGATTGGTTCCTGGACCACAAGTGGCTGGGTTTGCAAGCCCTCTGGGTGGGGTGGGGTGTGTAATGGAGCTGGTAATGGGCTTGTGTTTCTGTGAATGACGCTCACTGCTGGGATGGTGAGCTGGACGGGGCCAGCCTGGATTGGCACAAAGGTGGAGTAAGCTGCCAAGCCAGCGGGCACCAGCTGGATCCCCCCAACTGGGACCATGCTGTAAGAGGAGCGAGAAGGCTGCTGGGAGTGCAGGGGCAGGTGACTGAAGAGGTGGGTCTGGGTCTCTGTTCCTACTGTTTGGGATAGACCCTGTGGAGGAAAGTGCATGGGACCTTGAGAAGCATAGGAGGAAGTCTGAGTGCTCCGGTCCACTGGTATGCCTGATTCACTGGTCACCACAACAGGAGGGG